TATTTAACTCTATTTGGGCCTTGGTCGGGAGATGAACACCAAGACAGCAATAAACACTTGTAATGTCACGACTACACTGCAGTGTGTCTGGATCCATCCAGGTGGAAGTGGTTCCGATATCGATATCGAAGACGTTTTCATTCGATTCTCTGGAGGCCACTTCACAAATGAGGGCCAGCATGTGCAGCTCCCCGCTTCTCCCCGGAGACTTTCAGCTACACGCACTATTCAAAGTTCAAAGACGCACACCTGCACGCGCTCCCCGGCTGCCCTTTGTGTCTCTGGGGCGGATTTCATTTCAGTGTGCGTGTGTGCCACAGGTGGCGCCGTGCCGGTGACTCTGCTCTGATTATTGCGGTGACCGAAGCATCGCCGCCCCGTCATAATTTTGCCCTCCCCGAAAGCGTGGGTGGGAGGGGGAAGGATGGAGGGCGGACACGAGGGGGGGGGGGAAGGAGGAAGGAGAGGAGAGGAAGAAGAGGGCGGATGCTGGTAAATGGCCGCCCCCGCGGTGCCATATGGGAGGTGGCTTTGAAAGCGGCGGTCTTGAGTTGCTCTCGCCGGTGCAAACCGATCCGTCCCCTTTGTGTGGCGTCTCGGCTCACTTACTCTTCTGCCGTCCCGCTCACTTTTCGCTAAAATCATCCGTCACTCTCACAAACCCGGCGGCCGTCGCCTCCGCGCACTCACAGTTGTCAGCCCATGAAAGGGCTCGCGTGGGCGTCGCCCGAGTCGAGGGGGGGCGGGGGGGAACTCCGATTTTCAAGTGTAGGCTGTGGCGGGGGAGGGGGGGGGCGAGGGGGGATTCTGTGTGGGCAGGTAATCTGAGCAAATTAGGAGATGGGGCCTGTGTGTAATTTGTGACCCCCCCCCACCCGCCGCGGCACGTCCACCTATTGTTCCCTCCTCCGCACAAACCTTTCTCCCCCCCCCCTCCATCCGCCACCACCCACCCAATGGACCCATCTGTGCCTCCTGTTCAACAACCAACAGTGCAGTGTGTGGAATGCACACGCACACACACACGGTGCACATGGGACGGGGGCGGCTCGGGAGGGGGGGGGGATTGGTTCCAGGTGCCAGTTTGAGTGAGAGCATTAATCAAGCCGACAGATCTACGTGTCAGACACACACACACACACACACACACACACACACATTCAGGCTCTCTTTACCGCTCTGCTCGCACACTATTAACTACACACGGACACACTGCATACATATGCAAGCTTTTCTGCTCGAGCAGAGGTGAAGATGATGCGACGAAGATGATGTGACGAAGACGAGGCGATGAAGTGGGTGTGTTGTGACAAGGCGTACTAACCCCCCCCTGCCCCCTGCCCCCTCCCTCAGACAGCCCCACTGATCTGCTGCCAAGCCATTGATCACGGCCGGAGCTCTCTGCAGATCTTTGATGCTCCTTTGCTCATCCCCTTTCACCTTCGCCCCCAAAGCTGAGCCCCCCCCCCCCATCTCCCAGCCTCCCCCCCCCATCTCCCAGCCCCACCTCCCCCCACCTCTGTACAATTCGCAGCCGTGCTGCGCTAACTGCCACGAACAATCTTTGCAAGGGCTCACAGTGGACGACGGCGTGATGTCATCGCAATGGATGAAGGTCTGCAGCATCTCGTTAAGTGCATTGAAAAGCCTCACCGGCCAACGCAGTGGCATCAAAACCAGTCGGTAATTATGGGGCGCGTACGAAAAACCAGAGCGTTTGCCTCCCGTAGAAATGAGTTTGTGGCACTTATCCAACAGAAACACGCAGCGGTGTGGCGCGCGGCTCGAATAAACAAAGCAGAGGTATGAAATGTTTGCATTGATTTGTGTTTAGAAAAAAAAAGAAGGTTTCAGCAATCACGGTGTTTAAGAAAGTTCGAGGTTGCGCTGGGAAAATTGTTTGTCTATTTTGAAGACAGTGAGCCTCATCACGACAGCTACTGAATATGTGGATTAAAGAAAAAACAATGAGTCCATAACAGAACAAGTTCTGGATCAGACAACAATGATAGAAAGATTAAAAAAAGGTTCCTGCCAATCAGCTTCATTGAAAATGTACCTTTATTAATCCCCATTTTAAGGATGAAGAATCACCTCTGTGATCAAAAACTACACCGAAAACCAAGAGAAGGGGACGGAGGGGACGGGGGGGACGGAGACACATTTCAGGCCATTCCAGTCACGGACCCGATGAGAGCGGCACTGGTTCCCGTGCCGCTCTCCTCGGGTCCGTATTAAGGGCTCCAGCGACCATCTGATTAAAGACTGATCACATTCACAGGCTCACTAATAACACACACACACACACACACACACACACACACACCCTGCCGGGGACTGAATAACATGTTTGCCCGCGAGGTACAATTAAGCGACGCTAAATAGAGTTCCTTTGAGCGGACTCTTCTCTGCACAGTAGCAGCCAGTGAAGCGCTCGCACTTTTTCCCTCTGGCTTTTTCAAATTACCTATTGATGAGGGGGCTCCTCGTCTCTCCGTGGCCGGGGGGGGAGGAGGAGGGGGGGGGGAGGTGGGATGTCTGGTTCACTTTTAAGATGTCTCCAAGAAGCAGGCCTGTGGTTAGATCTAAGGCAACACTTATGCAACAGAAGCTGCCTTTCTCAGATACATATACGGTTTCTCCTGCAAATTATCTCAGATTTTCTTTTGGGGAAAGTTTTCCGCCCGGAGTCTTCAGATATTTACCCGCTTTGCTTTTGATCGTGTTGATTTGGGTGCGTCTGTGTAAGCAACCCCCCCCCCCCCCCTCCCCTCACTATGGCTGCACGACTTTACTAAACGATAATTGCTCCCATGACTTAATCGTCTATATGTAATTAAGTTTGTAATAGAGAAAAGAGGCACTTAAATGTTCCCCAGAGAGGCGCGGTGGGTGAGTGGGTGCCACACATGTTGAACATTATTCTGCCCTCCTCATCTGATCTGCCAGTCTGAGCAGTTATAAAAAAAATGTATTTGAGGCAATTAAATGGAAAAAAAAACGCTTGATGTAAACGCCAAGAGAGATTTTAATGAGCCCCCTTCTCTCAATTTGGAGTATTTTGTTGCTCCCTCAAGTCGGCTCAATTCATCACTGGGAATGTTCACTCTGGGCTAAATTAAAAATCTCCTGACGGGATGAAGTAATGCGGCTTTCTAACCGACAAAACATATTTTGTAACTTTTTTTCCCCCCCTGTGAAACTCACCGACGGCAAACGAAATGATTCGTGAGAAACCCGACGGATTTGTGACGAGTAAACAATTCATTCTCACGCTGAAGATAAATGATCAATAATAATAATGATGATGAATAAATATCAATATTACAGTACAAGCGAGGACATTTTCTATTAAATTCCCCCTTATTTCAGTTCATTAATGTATAATCAGAGAGGTTTTTTTTAAATAAACCAAAACCCAAATGTTCATCCCTGGTACACTACATTTATTCATTCAAAATAAATCGGAAATACAACAGAAAGCGCAGGTGGTCTAGTAAAATCACACTCCTCTGTCCGGAGGGGGGGGGTTCTGTGGTTGCACCGACAGTTTTACTGCCCAGATGTTCATAAACAGGGGCGACATCACTGAGCTGCAGCACAACATCACTCAGCGCCGGCTTTTCACCAGAGAATTGATCGGCGATTGGCTTTTTCCTCTGCAGCGCCTCCACCTGAACATCTGCACACATCTGCTCCTCTGTCCCTCCGCCGCAGCAGCATGCTTTTAATTTCCTCCCGCGCCTCTTTCTCTCTCGCTGCTCCGCGACCCCAGAGACACGGCGAGGGGTCAGGGGCTAACGTGGTAATGGGCGGTGGTGATTGGTGGGAGACGCTCGCTCTCTCCCGGCTCTCAGGGCGAATTAGGAGCCACGCGGCTTCTGTGCGGGAGCCGGAGCCCACAACAGCTGGGCCCGACTTCTCAAGAAACATCTTTTAAACATTTGATTTGGACAGAGGAGCGGCGGCGATGGACAGGAGCGGAGAACGGGGAGGGGGTATACCACTCGTCTATTCCTTCTGGAATTTCCTACAGAAATGTTTAAATTTTGAAAATGTAAATCTGGCAAATCCCAAAAGATCATTTATTTTGAATTAAATTAGATTGTGTGGAGAATTTGTCACAATAAAACAGCAAAACCCAAAACAGGCCGAAAGGATTTAAAATCCTAAAGTGTGACTCTGCTTCTGTGTTCTGACCTCAGATCCACTTTGGCAACAATAAATTAGAGTTGAACATGAAGAACTATTATTGTAATCCTGGAAAAGAAGTCGAGTCAAGAATTTATTAACACAAATATATATTTGATCCTTGACAGGAATGTGCTACAATTAAGAGTTAATTCGTTGTTTTCGGTTAAAACTATTTATTCCAACACTGAGATGACAAATTCATATGCGGGACGTGGAGTGACTTTCTGTCCAAAGCGGATCCCTTACAGTCGTGAAGCTGCAGGAATCCACTCTGATTAATTAAGTACGGCAGCGTGACACGACAACTCCAGGAAGCGGTTACGGGCCTTTTTCTGGGGTAAATTAATCGGCGGCTTCTTCCTCGCGCGCGGCGGAGACAACCCCGAAATCCCCACATCTTGTTTCAATGCTCGACTGTAAACCCTCCTCTGTTTACGTTTGTCAGAAACATCAGCCGGGCTTTTGGGTTTTCTGGCTCCGCAGTGGCATCGCCGTGTAAATCTACGGGCACGTTGCACAAACACGTCATCTTCCTCCTCCGGAAATATTTACAAACATCACGTCGAGGAAACGCCGGAATCCGTGAACGCAGAGACGGGTTGTTGCTTCTCACCAGAAAAGCCTCGATCACGGTCGGGTCTTTGTCCCGCCACGCCGACCCGGACACCTCGACAGCAGGGTCCTCGATGACCTCGGCTGATTCCCTCCGTCAGACCCACGAGCGTCATCCCCATCACCTCCCGAACCCTTCCATTCCTTTAATCCGGACCCCCGACAGCTGACCCGGCGAGCGAAGCGGTACTCACCCCAGAAGAAGTTCTGCTGACATGGCGTCACGGTGCTGAAGAGGCTGTTGGATGCCATGGCTGCCTCTGGCTGCAGCGAGCCCCGCTTCGGTTCCTCTGCGGTTTCCGTGACCCTTGACACGTCCTAAACCGAGAGCACGCAGCGTGTCACCGAGGAAAAAAAAAACAACCATCCGAAAGACATGCTTTTACGTATCAACTATTTGGATGACCACAAGTAACAACCAGGTCTGGTTTTATAGAGCGAAAAAAAAAGAAAAAAGTGAAAAAAAAAGAGGCCAATATCGCCTCTGCGGAAAGATCAGATGGTGTCGGACTTGCTTGCTTGGCGAGTGTGGTTGGAAACGTACTTACTCGCTTAGCGCCGTCCCTGTGACTGGTCCTGGCCCGCGACGATTAACCATTTACACTCCGGGTCGCCCTCAAACACCGACCCCGAGCCGCACTCTGTGGTTCTGTGGTTGTTGGGGAGGCGAGCGGAGGCTCACACAAGCCGGCAGGCACCAGCTTTAAAACTCGTCTCTTTCCTGCCCTCCACGCGCCGTCACTGGAGAGCCCGGGTCACATGGCCCGCCGACGTCATCACGCCGGAGCAGTCGGGTGGGACAGCCTACCGTTGTGGCTTTCTTCCCTCTCCTCCTCCTCCTCCTCCTCCTCCTCCCCCACACCGTTTTTTTTCCTTTTCTCTCCTCCCTGGCTCTCCTCCTTCTGGCTTACGCGTGGGTTCGGCGGCGCTTGCAGGCTCTCTGGGGGATCGGGGTCTGACGCTCCGGGGTGGGGTGGGGGGGGGGGGCAGGAGGGCTGGGGGGGGCCTGGCCTTGTTGAACCGCTCGTGCCTCCTCAGCATATGGATAACAGCGCTTTCTGCTTTACTCCTTCATACCCCCCACGCCCCCCTTTTCTCCCCCCCCCCCCCTCCTCCCACCTTCTCTCTGACTCTGCTGCTCCGTCCCTCAACTCCTCCAGCGGGCTGCTGGTGCTGCTCCCGTCTGCCTGTGAGCAGGGAGAGCTGAGCTCGGTAAGATTTGAGGGAGTGTGAGAGAGGAGCGGTGTGTGTGTGTGTGTGTGTGTGTGTCCGTCAGACAGAATGGGGAAAGAAAGACAGACAGGCTGTGTGTGTGTGTGTGTGTGTGTGTGTTATTTACGGTGTGTGAGCGCTGCTTCTCCTCCGCAGGCTGAATTCGGAGGCTTTCCCTCTCCCGTTCCATGACAGCGTCATGTTGTTGTGTCGGGTGTGCGTGTAGCAGCTTTGTGCGCGTGCACGCATGCAGGTCTACACTGATCTTTAATTGGCATGGAAGCGACAGACAAAAGGAGGCCGTGGATTGTCGTGGATCGTGACCACCTGCCTCGACCGCGAAAGAGATTCTCAAGTCTCTCAAACACTAGGAACACACACACACACGCGCACACACGCACACACCTGCAAGAACGGCCTGCATGCAGCAATTGAACACTCAGCGGTGAATCATCGCACACCTTACACAACCTTACACAACCTTACACAACCTCGCACAACCTCGCACAACCTGGCGCGTTGCTCGTGAACCCAGAGGAGCGGAGTGAGGAAAGAGGCCGGGGGTCCGGTCGGGTTTGAGAGCGTGACTCAGCAGAAGGGCCGACGGTGGGAACTGACTCTCATCATTAAACCCGTCGCTGTTGTTTAAGTACGAGCCCGTGATTTAAAAAATGCGCTTCAGGTTATTTGAACGATTTTTAACGATTGAATCGACATCTGAGACCTGTTTTAAAACCAAAAAGGAGGATAGATAGACACAGGTAGGTGTTACGATATGTCATACCAATGCATTTCATATATAGATATATAAAAAGTATTTGTCTGTATGTTTACAATTAAAAAGCAAGTTGGCAACATCGAGATATAAACAAAATAATCTGTGAACATGATGCACATTTTACTGAGGTCAATAAACAAATTGGTCACTTTAACCAGTGTTTGCACACTGAAGACTAATAAAAAGAAATAAAAACCATCTGCCTGAGCAATTCAATAAATAATGTGTTCAAATACTGAAACTAAACACGTTTCATTATTTAGCAATGGGGCCCTTATTTATTTTGAATTTTAATGACCTCAATATAGTTTTCAAAAAAAGAAAAAGCAGTGAATAAAAAAACATCGAGTACAAACAATCCGTACAAATTTAACAGCTCTTCTTTGCGGCCCACCTTATTTTTGTGCAGTGGGACATTTTCCTTGGCTTGCTGCTTTGTAAATATTTGCTGTCTAAAACAAGAACGCGACTCGAGAGCATGTTGCAGAATCCTCAGGGCAACGCCCACTGAGACGCACACACACACACACACACACACCTCCCAGATTCCATCGATCATGTCGACCATGCAGCTTACCTTGATGATTACATCGTGTGTTTTGCAGCCATGACGGCGAGGATCCTGCCGCCAAGCGATGCTTTCCACCGACGCGGTGACGGCCGTCAGCTGCATTCGGCCGACTGTCGGGTTTTTCTTGCCAGATTTTCCTAAAGAAAATCACAACAAAGCGAGTTGAGAAGAGAGTAACGAGTCGACTCAACTCACCTGATCTCATCCCCAAAACATCCAGGGGAAGGTTTGTTTTTCGGGACAGTTTTGCAAACAAGCTGCCTGGCAAAGATCGAGCATTCATTGCATTTCTTCTGCCCTGATTGGAGGGATTTTAGCATTTACATCATGAGAGCAGCAGAGTGCTTTGATGTGTTTAACACATCGCATCGTTCCACGCAATAGCTAACACAAGTAACTCTCACGTGAGGGGGGTGCTGGCAGTTTCGCTGTACAGACAACTTTTGTAATATATGTCCTACTCGAAAAAAAAACAGGCTTTAATGTGACGGTAATAATGTTAAGGGCTGGAATATGATGTGGAATATAATATTTCATTCATTACTGGTTCTCCACTGGTGGCCGTGTGCTACACTTGCTGTGTGTGTGTGTGTGTGTGTGTGTGTAGCCTGGTCGCCAAGGTCTGCCCCGAGGACTGTGGTCGAAGGCCCACCCTGCCAGACACTTTCTCCCTGCTACCACTCAGGACCACACACCTTCCAGTGGACTCGTGTTGTTATCACAAGCTCTCACAGAAACATAATAGAGGTATCATGTGTTGGAACACGCTTTTAAATTACACATGCCATTAAGACGGCGGGAGGAAATTCAGCGCCGCCGCTCTCCTCGCTTTGTCGCCGCCGCCGCCGCCGGACCTTCGCTGCGGACTCTCTTCACGGGAAATTGTTTCTTGCAACAGAATATTTCTGGGAAGAAATAACAATGATACCCAAGATGAGTTCAAATGCACCGCTGACTGAGGCCGCCTGTGTCCGCGACGTAATTAGCCCGGCGCAGACGTGCCGCACGCGGACGCATCGCAGTATTAGACCCGCGAAGGGCTTATTAATAGCCCCTTTGGCCCGGGCTGTGTGCTCTCTCTCTCTCTCTCTCTCTGGCGGCGCATCAGAACGGCCCCGGCGGCGGCCAACAGGCAGGTCCAGTGATTCACTGCAACAGGCGACATCTGTAAAACGCCAGAGGCAGTTTGCACTGCGGCCCGAGCCCGAATTAACGTGCTTTCGTTGGAAACGCACACCACTCTGCAATCAGCTCGGCGCGAGCGGAAATACATCTCTGCGCGGCGACCCGGGCCCGAGGGTGTGTGTGTGTGCGTGCGTGTGTGCGCGTGTGTGTGTGGGTCGCCCTCGACGCGGCCCAAAGGCTCGCGGAGGTGCAGAAACTCGATCCACGGCGCCGCCGCCGAGGCCGCCAGGAGGATGTTGATGTTCCGTGTGAATCGTTTGGCGAGCTACGGTTATGCTACATACTTAATGAAAAGTAGATATTTTTCTTTGGGAGTCCAGCGGTGGCATCTACATCTTCCACGGACTTCAGGCCCCTTCTTGTGGTGTCTGGACAGATGTTTTTGGAGTCGCAGCTTTGAGGGAAAATAAAGTCGGCCTTTAAGTAATAAGGGGAAATGTTTAATATCGAATGGCGCTCACAACCTAAACACATTAAAAATAGCTCTCGGAGTTGTGATTACATATAAATTGCATTAAAAAAAGAGAAGGGACGGGGAGATCATCGGTGGAGGCTGCGGCTGACCATTCCTCATCTCGATCACAGGCCCGGTCCAGGATAAACAGCGCCTGCCTACGCTGCTGTTCAAACAGCCCGCTGAGGCCCGAGCGATGATTTCGAAATGTTCCCCGACAACTCGCTGCAATTTGTGTGCTAAGTAGACGAGGCTGGACACATTTGATATGTATATATATATATATATATATATCCGTCTCTGACCGGACTCCCGCTGCTCCTCCACCTCTGAGAAAAAGCTACGCGCTACTCCGGTTTAAGGCGAGGACCGAAGTCCGACGGCGTCACCCTGAGGTCGGCGACCCCGTCATGGCGCGGTCAGCCGTCGGCTGAAGTCGAGGTCTGAACTGCCGAGTCAGCGTTCTAATTGCACGCTACGGGGGGGGGGGTCACATGACGGCCACCGGGTCGCGAGATGCCGTCACTCCGCCAAATGTCAACAACAGAAAATGAGTGTTCGGTGCGTGCTTCCAGCGTGGGGGGGCGTGACTCAAATGTAGAGGTCACGGCAGCCGATCGCGACCTGAATGAGCTTATACAGAAGGCGCCCATTATGCTCCTCAGAAACTCCAGTTTACTCGGCGCGGAGAACAAAGTGGGCCTGATGGAGAAAGAGCCATTATGAGGAGGAGTTCGGCACCGTGTCACCGACAATGGGGCAAACAAAAGGCTCTGTTGTCTCCTCCAGGCGCTGGGCTATTTTCTTTTTGTTGTTTTTTTTTTTTCCTGTGGGGCTTTTGTGATGGATAATTGCCCTCCTCGCATGATTTCATAATGCCGTGGCTCGTCTTTCAGTGCCTGTGTAACACAATAACAAGATAAAGAAAAGAGAGGGGATCTAAATTTGACATTGTTTAGAAGTGGCCGCTTTTCTTGGTTGTGGTGTATAATTTTGGAAAGATGTATGCGCGGGACGCAGACTTGAACCAGTCAAAACACGGCCTGCAGCTCCCGCAGTTCACCGCCTCTAGAACCCAACTGCACCACAGTTTACGGCTCTACATCTTATTGCTGCCCGAATATCAGATTCCAATCAGATGGGAATACTCTGCTGAGTCAGCCCAGGTTTATACTGTAAGAAAAACCAAGAGGTTAACAAAGTGTGTGCTGTAGCAACGTACGACCGTATTACATCGGACATTCGTATCTGTATTTGCATCATTAATAATCACAATAAAGCTGTTTTGTGCGAGGACTTACAAGCTGGTATCACCTGCTCCTCTTCTTTCCTGCTGAACGCCGCAGTCTGCAGAGCGTAAATGAGTGCACATCAAGGCCGGGGTTCAACCGTCTGCACGTGCACAGAAGAGCGCCCGAGGCGTTGTCTCTCAGATGCTGCGTACGGTATGCGACCTTCCTTTTTTTTCCCCCCTGAGTCAGCGGAGATCAATCTGCGACGCTGCGACTGAGGAATGTATTTACTCCTCGCGGAGAAGAAAAACAAGAAAAACACTTAACTCCAAGCGGTGGTTAATAATCGGCTGATCCCACGGCGCGTGGAGGCGGAGCAACGCGCCGGCTACAGTGCGGCGGGGCGCTCGTAAACACTTTGATTAAGAGAATCTGCATTCCGGTACGTGTGCCGTCGAAACACGCTCGCAGATTAAATGCGCTTGTAAAACATTAGAGGCTCGCTGTGCGTCTGGGAGCAGTTGCAGTGCTTTAAAGTTTAAGATGCATACCTGAAATATACATTTTAATAAATCATGTGGTTTTTTTTATACCAGTGTCTTCTTTATTGCCAAATTCAGATCATCTTCTTCAGTAGAGAAGTAGTACTAGTAAAAGTACCGTACTTGAGATTTAGGTAAAGTAAAACAGAGAAGTGAAAAGAAGAAGTAAGCAGAAAGAGAAGAAAGAAGGCCTGTGTGAGAGGGTTATTATTTTTTATCATGATGAATGATAGTGAAGCATCAATGGGGACGATGAGGGGCGGATCTGCTGGATGTTTCTTTTTATTGTTTTTTATGTACATGTATTCCTATTAAAATGGAAGGTATTAATACACCCAAGTAGTAAACGGTTTCAGTAAAGGTCAATTCTGAAAAGGTTTACAAAATAAAATTTTCCTCAACATTAAATTAAATTGACGGAATCTTTGTGAAGAAGCGCGATGTCTTTTTAAAGTGCTAAACTTAAAGTCAATGCAACGCGTATTTCATGTATAACTTTGTGGTTAATAGTGTAACATTGAGACATAAAGGGATTATTCATCAAACTAAATAAACGACAGATTGTTTGACGTGAACAAAATCGTGAATGAAGACACGTATCATATGAAGTATTATATTCTCTACACTTCTTCAATGTGGAAAGCTTCATTGTTAATGAGGCACAGAAGGATAAATCACTGAAATGAGCAAAGAGCTGCACGTCTCCCTGTAGCAGCAGCACATAACAAATGAACCCAATGAGATCCCGTTGTGACCTTTCTGCAGAAACACAAGGAGCAGAGCCGCACTTCAGTGACGCTCCCACTCGCGTTCTGTTGCCTCTCCGGCGTCATTCTGCAGATGGTCGTTTCGGGGAGGTGTACTTGAGAATTACAATGACTCCTTTTCTTACTCTCAAAACATTCCAGCAGGCTGCAGGATGAAATGCTGGAATCTGAGGCATGATGCTAATTTGAGGACAGAATAAATCTATAAATCTGACTTAGTCTCTCGCCCCGGGGATACACAGCCATGATAATTACAGGTTGACTTTACAGACATGCAGACATCCCTCATCTGTGCTGCTAATAGCATAACCAGCAGGCTGCTACGTGCTTACTCAATGTCTAGCAGCCGGGGTGAGCGGAGGTAAGCTGTAACAATGATACCATTTCATGCACAAATCGGGGGGTTCTTTTGACTGCCGTTCATAAAGAATTAAGAGTTTGTCTGACCGCCACCCGGCGAATGTCCAGTCTGTGATTCTGCCATCGGCCTGGCGGAAAAAAAATCTCAGAACGCTTCGCTTTTGGCCCGTCGGGAAGCGAACAAACGCACTTTGTTAAAGCGGCAGCGCTGCTATCCGAGGAGCATCTAACGCGGAGCGGCTCGGAGGACACTGCCGCAGCTGCTTCTGCTTAAATGCTTGTTTTGCTGTGTCCTTTCGACTCGGTGCCACAGGCTCGAGTACGCAGAGTTCATGTGGACACCAAAAAAAACAACATGTGGTGCCTGCAAGACTCCCCGCGGGGGTCGGCTCCGGGACTCCCCGGCCCGGGAGACAGTGGATCGGATCGCTGGTGGAGGCCATGAAAGCAACACTCGAGAGACGTCAAGTAGACGGTTGATCACACATGGGGATCTTTATTGGGTTAGAGTTCTGGGAAACAAAAGCAAAATTGTAGGCCTGCTCAGATTTAATCTGGAAAAATCTGCTTTTCCTGTATTTTCTATTCTATTCCTCC